AGGGCGGGCGGGTCCACGCATGCGCGGCCTCGGGAGGGCGGGGGGTGCTGGCGAGGCGCGTCAGTGTGCGGGGGGTGCCGGCAGATGCGTCTTTAAAGTCAGTCGCCGGCCTGCCCGTGCGAGTGCTCATCGGGGGCGCCGAACGGTGGGCGATGTCGCTTTCCCCCCCTCAGGCGCCGGGCTGCGACGGCGGGCGCGGGGAAGGAGGCGCCTGGATGCGGCGCTGCCGAGTGAGAGGCCCGGCGGGGGGCCGGGGGGGGCCGGGCCGTGCACCCCACAGAGCCCCGGGGGATCGCCGCCGTGGAGCCGCGGGGGGGGTCGATGTCCCTGGCGGCAGCAAAGCCCCGCCGGGAGCGCGGGGGGCGGCTCGGCCGGGTTTGCCTTAAAAGCAAATGGCGCCAACTGGGGAAGCGCGTTTAGTGCAGAACCAGAAAATCCCCTGAAGGAGTTGCGGGCATCGCGCGTTTTTTAATCGGGTATATTTGTTGTCTTCCAGACACCTCAGAAGAAAGGCAGGATTCTGTTTACAAGGTCGCAACGTAGAGAAAGCACAGTCCATCGCTACACTCTTTTCAGGAGGAGGTGTTTCTTCTCGAGTCCTTTTTCAAGTGGAGACATGCTCAGCCACAAAAGCTTTTGGTTTTTTTACAGGTCGCTCCCCAGCCAAGACCAGGAGACCCTGCGGTCCCTGTCACATGTTTCAGACTGGTCTCAATAAAAATCCTTGTTATTAGAGAGTCAGCTTTACTTGGTAGGGCCTTTGCTGGCTGGTTGGGCTGAAATTCAGTTTCACACTTGGAAGAGGGTGCTTGATGGGGCCTGTGGACATAGTCCTGTGGGTACAACAGGAACTGTTCATTCATTACTAGCCAAAAAAAGATGCAAAATGAATAGCTAGAATCTATCGCTAAACCAATGTCCTGGTTTCGGCTGGGATAGAGTTAATTTTCTTCCTGGTTGCTGGTATAGTGTTCTGTTTTGGCTTTAGTATGAGAAGAATGTTGGTAACGCACTGATGTTTTCAGTTGTTGCTCGGTAGTGTTCATACCAAGTCAAGGATTTTTCAGCCTCTCATGCCCAGCCAGCAAGAAGGCTGGAGGGGCACAAGAAGCTGGGAGGGGACGCAGCCAGGACAGCTGACCCAAACTGGCCAAAGGGGTATTCCATACCATGGGACGTAATGCCCGGTATATAAACTGGGGGGAGTTGGCTGGAGGGGATGCAGATTGCTGCTCAGGAACTCACTGAGCATTGGTTGGAGAGTGGTGAGCAATTGCATTCTGCATCACTTGCTTTGTATATTCCAATCCTTTTATTATTATTATTATCATTTTATTATTGTTGTTGTTGTTATTATTTCCTTCGTTTCTGTTCTATTAAACTGTTCTTATCTCAACCCACTAGTTTTAATTTTTTTTCCCTGATTCTTTCCCCCATCCCACTGGGTGAGGGGTAAGTGAGTGAGCGGCTGCAAGGTGCTTAGTTGCCAGCTGGGGTTAAACCATGACAACCAATTACCAGCTGTTTGTATTAATTTTTGCTAGCTTTTTGATCTTTGTTCATACTGTTTCTTTAATCTTTTTGGCTCATGGGTGATGCTGAAGATACCCAAATTTTTGTTTCAGTTTTAATCCATTCCTATTTTTATTTTTGTTTAATAGTTCCTTTTTGTTTGTTTGCGGGTTTTTTTAAGATGTTGGTATTTCCTATTATGTTGCTTTGTCCTTTCCATGTGTTCTACGCAGCTTATCTGTAGCTTTCTCAGTATCATCTAGTAACTGTTGTTTCTATTCCTGCCTGCATGAAATGTTCCATTCCTGTTCTAATGCCCTGCACAAGACCCGTGTACCACAGGAAGATTGCCAAATAGGGCTTAAGTGTGGCTTAAGTATGGCATACGCCTTGATATTTGAGTTAGTCTGCTGAAGATACACCTTTCCTTTGACACGATTCACTCTAGCTGGATAATTTAGCTCACAGTCTTTGTACCGCTGAGGTACAAAATGGCACTCGCACATTCCCTTTTTCCAGTCTGTATTTTCCCCTTATTACATCACCCTGTGTATTTTGTTTACCAAGAAGGAAAAAGTTCAATGAAGACTTGTTGGGCTGATAACCACGTGCTGCTAATCATCTGGTTTAGTACGCCTGGTTTGCAACTGCTGTGTTTTCTAGGAGGGGTGGTACAACTCGGAAAAGCAGCCTGGGAAGATTGCATTTCTCTGCATGGGTTGCTCTGAGGCTTTGAAGAGAACTGGGTGGTTACACCCATCCTGCAGGCAGTGCCTGTAACAGCTTTTGCTCGCTCTAGGTGGAGAGCTGGAGCTGTGGTGGTGCTTCTGGTGTGCCACCTCTGGAGCCCTGTACAGTCAGTGGGTATGCTGAGTTGAATGGTGGCAGTTTTACTTGTTCCCACTCCTGTGTGACACTCATACCGTACCCCCACACACACGTGGGCACACAGCAGGATTAACAGATAGCCTTCTACTGAGAATGAGGAATGGGTATCTTCTAGCTTCCACCAAGTGATGAAAAAGAAATGTTATTTTCTTTTCACAACAGTAAAAGAGTGACGTATAACAGAAGACACTTACTAGCATATTCAGAACCACATGGACTCACTGGCTCACACTTTTTGAGCAACCAATATACAGTTATCATTGAAACGGACTCTTGAGTGTGTTATTGTGGAGCCAGGTAGATCATAATTGGATTTATTAGGTTTAGTTACATTTTAGTTGATAACAAAGAGCAATAAAACTTTTGTCTTCCTTCTTTTAATTAAACTACTTACAAATTATAAACCATAAGAAAGTGAGACATGTATGCTAAAAGTAGGACTGTAATGCCTTGAGAATTGATTTCAATTCCCAAAGGAATAGAGAGTAGCATTCCTACTAATGTGGTTATTCTCAACATTTTTTAAAACTCACACCCTATGAGTGTATACCTGCTACTAAAAATGTTTTTTCTTACGTTTAAATAGAATTTCCTGTATTTCAGGTTTCAGTTTGTGGCCGTTGCTTCTCAGCCTGTCACAGGATGCCAAAAGGCTGCTGTTCTTTACTGCCCCCTCCCACCGATTGATAAAGATTCCCCCCTAAGCCTTCCCAACTGAAATTCATTACAAAAAGCTCTTTACTACCTTGAGGCCTCTCCTGTTCTCATACCAAGAAGCAATAGAAGAATGGTTTCATTGCCTCTGTCTCACTCATTTTCTTTCCAGTCTATCGATGTTCAGAATCCAATCGCATGAAGACTACATACAGGTTCAATATAAAGTATATCAGTGATTGCAGTGATGTTACTGAAATTATTTGAGCTACAGTGCTTTGTTGGGTCAGAGCTATGGTTGGGTATGGTTGGGTTTGGTTCATCCACACAGTTGATATAACACATCTGTTATTCTGAGTCTACCAGAAGCTCACCCGCTACCTTCTGCCCAGACCACAAGAAGGACTGCTCTAAAATACAGGAAGAGTCTGGGAACTGATTATTAGCAAGACCTCAACTCTAGTCTGCAATCTTAACAGAACTGTGCTTCAAGCCTCCCCAGAGGAAAAGGACACAGACGCATGCTGGCCATTTGCCTGGCCTCCAGGACAGGATGAAGATGCAGCTGTGAACAAAGCTGAAGTGAGCAGGAGAGAGATCTGGGGAGTTATATGGGCAGGGAAGGGGGTGGAAAGCAAAGTCAGGAAGGGGTACAATAAAACAAAGACGTATACTAGATTACAAAGTTTATTAAATATCAAGATGAAACAGAAAATCTGGAATTAAATACAGTGTATTAGCTTCAAAAACACTTATTCATATAAAAAGGAAGAGCGTCACAGCAGTATTCATCACTTTCCTCACTGCCTGTTAACTCAAGTCCTTGAATTAGTGGGTAAAACCCCCAGATTTTTCCAGTCTTAATTCATCTCAGTACAACCATTCTTACTTTTCCAGAACTGGGACTTTGTTGTATAATCTTCCGATTGCTGGTGACTTTTGCAGACAGGAAATGACAACTGCAGATCTTCAGTAACAACAGGTAACTCCCTGAAAGAAGTAAGTAGAACTGCTTGTTTTCTTGACATAAATGCCCCACAACAGCCACCACATCATCAGCGGCCACCAGCAACAAAGAGATGGGCTGTCCTATCACACGAGTTTTGGAAAGTACTAAAGAGGCTCAAAGTTGATATATTAGCGTTCCTTTTTTCCCCATATGAAGTGTTTCAGGTGCCCCACAGGTGTTGATGTAGGAACTGCGAATGTCTAAAACTGCAGCGATTTTTAGTACAACAATCAACGTGAATACCATGTGAGGCAATGGGCACAAACTGAAACACAGGAGGTTCTGTCTGAACATCAGGAAACACTTTTTCACCGTGACGGGGACCCAGCACTGCCCACGGAGGCTGTGGAGTCTCTATCCTTGGAGATACTCAAAAGACAACATGGTCCTGGGCAACCGTCTCTAGGTGGTCCTCCTTGAGCAGGGGGGCTGGACCAGATGACCTCCCTTCCAACCTCACCCATTCTGTGGTTCTGCGGTACAAAACAAACGTACCAAAAAGACCACATAACTTTCTTGGCGCTGCTATACACTCACAAGTAGTTTTAAACCTAAGGCGCATAAAGTGACAGCAATGTAAAGTGCCCTATTCTCCAGCCTGAACACTGGTAAAACTTTCACTTTATAAGCAGAAATATTC